ATTCCTTTGAGTTTACCACTGACTTGGGGCGGGATCAAAGAGAAAATGGCTCAAGCCTGTTAAATCAAGGGGTTATGGACAAAATCCAAGCCTGAGAATAACGGAGGGCACGCTGTTGAGGGGCCAGGGCCCAGAAAGGGTCGGCCCAGGGCGCTGTGCCCTCGCCTTGAGGGGAGCGCCCCCGCACCCGGAACGCGGCACGGGGCGCGGATCTGCCTGAGGTTGAGCCCGGGCGCACCCTGGCGCAGGGAGACACCCGCGAGGCCAGACTTTCCACGGAAGGCTGCTTAGCGCTTGTGACCATATTTGGTCTGGTGAGGAGGCAACTTGGCGGTTTGGCTTTCAATTGTCTGCAAGAGCGCAGACGGTGTCCAAAAAGTGCCGCTGTTGATGAAGATGCGGCTTCGCCAAAGAGTCGGTTGTAAACGACCAACCTTCAAGCCTTTCATCAATCGTTCGTTTGCTCTATGGGGTGAATCAGGACACTAGGGGTTGAAAAAGGGCCGAGACAAAGCTGGGTTCTAGAAGGGCCAAGCAATTGCGCCCCCTTCCCTCCTCCCGCGGCGTCTAAGAGGGTAGTGGGAGGATTGGAATGTCCCTGAGTCCCTCCAGGGAGCCTGGAACTGGGATGGAACCGGGGCAGGTGGCTAGGATAGAGAGGGTGTGCCAGTGACCCGGAAAAAGCCACCCACCCTCCCACCGACTGGACTTGGGCCAGAGGTGGAGACCCCTGCCTGCCTTTGGGGAAAGGAGGTCAGGCCTGGTAAGACAGCTGCCGGGAAGAGGGAGGCGGTCTTGCCCTTCCCACTGCCAGCTGCTCAACTCTATTCCTTCTCTCCTGCGGCCTCTCTCCAAGAAAGGGTGGCTGCGTCGTTAAGTCAAATTCCAGGAAGCCCCTACCCGACCCACAGATTCGAATAGACGTTTATTAGATAAGCTAAATGAGGCAATACTTGTAAAGCACTTTGCTTAGCCTGGGCTGGGTACAAGTTTGTCTCAAGAATTATATTAAATTCAGGTATTGTGACTCACCTTGTTAAAGAGCAAAATAAAGTCAAAATTAAATCCACAGTTGACAGGCAGTGTTATAGAAAAATGAAGAGGCCTATTACCTAACAAAAAGTTGAAGGGACAAAGGCAAGGCCACTCCATAATTTTTACTTTAAGAGATGGAAGAGTGGGCAATACTCTGGATCAGCTAGGTAAAGCCCTTGAGGGCAATCCTGACCACCTGAGTTCGATGTCCACACCCCACATGATGGAAGAAGAGAACCAACTTCCATAAGCTGTCCTCTGGCTTCCACATGAGCCCCTCCCCAACACAAAATTTTTTTTTTAATTTTGAGCCCAAGCCTTGAGTAACTGTATCCTGTCCCAAAGTGAACTACATGTCTAGTTCCCATTACTTGAACTGTGACTCCAGGCCCCTCACAGACTGGGCAAAAACAGGGTAGCCTTATATCAAGGTCTCGTGAACTTTTCCACTCATGGCCCCTTTTTACCTGAAAAAAAAAAAATGTTTACCTGGCCCCTAACTATATAGGTGTATAAAATACATACAAATCAAACACTTACTGATAATCATAAATTGATTTTAAAACAATTCCTGGGTATATATAGAATTTTGCCACTCATTAAAGACAATGAACTATGCTTTGGGTTGTGTCTATATAGCTCACTGACAGAGGGGTTACCTAGGATCATTCCCTAGCAATAATAAATAAGATGAATATGCTTATTTCTATATAAAGAACTCAACTATTTAATACTGCAGGACATAGGGCATCTTCAATATTTTTCACTTTTTTATTTTATAATTGTTAGTCCTGAGTCTGGTGTAGTACAAAATGGCAGAAGTATGTTTAGGGCCTTCTCAGAAACTGTTGGAAGTTCTGTCCTGGTTCCAAACGAAAATTTCATTTAATGATTTCTTCTTCTTGCAAAACTCAAGTCAGCAACTCAAACAGTCATTTTTAACACCAAACATTCTACCACAGTATGACCCGAAGATACGCTAATATGATACATACTGAGGAACGATGGTAGAAAAACATTGTCTGTTTTCCATAATTAAATCATTGTGTTGCTGTAGAAGCAGAACACTGTGTACCCAGTAAGAACACTGCAATGCAAATCTGAGCAGTAGCATTTCAAGCCGTGTTCCTTGGTGTGCTATGGTGTGCCAGCGTGTATGGAGCCAAGTGCACATGCTGTGTGTTCAAAACCAAGAGTACTGCAAAGTCACGAGATGCCACACAGGCAAGTACAGCCAGAAACACAACTCAGATCCATGATGTTTGATTTTGAATTAATTTTTGGCCCAGTGTGTGTGTGTGTGTGTGTGTGTCCCAAAAATTTTGTTTGTTTTCTTGGTTTTGGTTTTTCGAGAGAGGGTTTCTCTGTGTAGCCCTGGCTGTCCTGGAACTCACTCTGTAAACCAGGCTGGCCTCAGACTCAGTGCCCGGCCTGTTTCTGACTCCCAAGTGCTGCCATTAAAGGCATTCACCATGTTGGCTACCGCCTGACATCAGAAATCTTTTACAGCTGCCAAATTTTCATGACCCCTGCTCCACAATAAATTACGAAACCCGGCCGGGCGTTGGTGGCGCACGCCTTTAATCCCAGCACTCGGGAGGC